TCCCAGTTTCTTGGGAGGCTGAGGCAGGAGAATTGCTTGCCCCTGGGAGGTGGGGGTGCACTGAGCTGAGATAACACCACTGCACTCCAGCCTGGGCAACAAGAGTGAAACTCCATCTCTAAAACAACAAAGAAAAGACATATAAATGTCTAACAAACATGAAAAACCTTTCACTATAACAAATAATCAGAGAAATGCAAATTTAAACCACAGTGATACAACATTTTATTCCATTCAGAATGGCTATTGTTAAGTCAAAAACAACAGATGTTGGCCAGGACATGGAGAAAAGGGAATGCACATCTACTGTTGGTTTGAATGTATATTGCTAAAAGCTCTATGGCAAACTTTATGGAAATTTCTCAAAGAGCTATAGGATCTGAACAGAAGCCAGAGGATTTCCCTCAAAGAACTGTAAGTATCACTGTCATTCAATTCATCAATCTCACTACGGGGTATCTAACCAGAGGAAAAGAAATGATTATATTAAAAAGACATCTGCAGCTGTATGTATATTACAGTGTTATACACAACAGCAAAGCCATGAAATCAACTTGTATCCATCAACAGATGATTTATTAAAATGTGATAGATATTTTATATAATATATATATATTTTAATATATAATGTATATAATGCAATATTTCTTAGCTATAAAAAGAATGAAATCATGTGTTTTACAGCAACATAGATGGAACTGGAGTCCATTATTTTAAATAAAATACTGCATGTTATCATTTATATGTGGGTGCTAAACAATAGGTACACATGGATACACAGAGTAGAATTACAGTCATTGGAAACTCCAAAATGTGGAAGTGTGGGAAAGTTGGGTGAGGGAGTGAAGGATGAAAGGTTCAGGAAATAAAATGCCATTAATTTAAATATATCTTTGTCAACACAATTTCTTTTGAAAGCAATTTTACCTTAGTAATGATTCTGTGCCTAATGTAGTCAAGATGGATGTTGAGATTTAACTTATTACCCTTATGATTAAAAATTTCTGTCAAATAAATCTAATTGGCACAGTTACCATTCTCAAACCAATCAGTAAAACAGACTTACTTTTAGTTATAAAAATCTTATTTTATCTCTTTTTCTTTTCCTTTCTTTTAGAGATGGGGTGTCTCTCTGTTGCCCAGATTAGAGGGCAGTGGCTCAATCATAGCTAACTGAACCCTAAAATCCTGGGCTTAAAGGATCCTTTCACATTAGTCTCCCGAGAAACTGAGATTAATGGCATTAGCCAACACATCTTGTTTATTTTGCTTTCTAATCAAATAAAAATGTTAATTTATTTTTCAAAGGATATTGTAAAACCACCGAGAACTAAATTAGAAAACACGTTCTGATAGATCACTGAACTCCAGTGAATTCAAAATTAAACTGATGTAGATATAATAATCTATCTTAAGGAACTTAATAAAAATAAGTTAGTATGTCAATATGTAATTACTCAGTGAATTTGTATTAATGTACCCAAATTTTACATTTTAAAGATAAAATCTATGTGCTAAAATAGAGAACTTTTAAAGAATATGTATATATCTACATGTGTATGTGTTGAACTCGTTTAGTTTTTATTAATACCTAAATAAAAATCAAGAGTAAAAATTATCAAAATGGTGTTATTTAATTAGTTTTAATGTTTAAGTCTTTTTCTATTCACTTAATGAAGTAAAAGGTATACAGGCAATTGGTAATTTATTGGTGCTATGGCTATTTTTTTAAGTAGAAAAAGGCAAATAGCATTTAATAATATACAATAAGAAGAAAATTGATTCTGATATGTTTCATTATATAATTTCATAAAATAAATTCAATTATATAATTAAATAGAGTACATCAATTATGAAAGAAAATAATAGATACAATTATCTATGAGTTGTCTGCAATAAATTTTGCCAAAGCTGGTAACCAAAAAATAAATTCTGTCGTCACATTTCAAAGTTTTGGTGTCATTACTTTACTCTTCTTTGGCTGTTTCAACCAGTCATTATTTTCAGAAAATGAATCTTTGGAATAAATTATGAGGCTAACTAAAAATTATTACTTATGTTCAAATACATTAAAATAATCTTTTAGCCTTTAGTATTTACTACTTACCATCTCATTGCTTTGCTCTTTTGAGAATTCATCTCAAGAGAAATGTGTTCTTGAGCATATGTTAGTACCTAAAGGAGTCCAAGTCCTTAAACAAAATAAGAAATTGCATTATTACCACTTTATCTGCCATATTTCTCAATCATGAATGTTTCTTACAAACCAAAATACCAAGTTCCTAACATCAGGTTTCAGTCCTAACTTTGAGTTTACAAAGGAAATGGAAGGAGCATTGGGTTTTATGGTTCTTTAATCATTACAAGTAACTTATTGTTTGAGGACATGAGAATATTTATTTATTTTCTTCTGAAAATGTATTATGCATAGTATACATAGAGAAACGTTGCACAAGTGTATAGCAGCTCAATGAATATTTTGAAAAGCATTTAAATGCTGTGTGATATCCTGATGCTGAAACAGAACAAGGTCATTAGTGAAATAGCACCTGAAACCCAAATAAAGTTTGGAGTTTAGTTATTATTAACATACAATTTTTGGTTTCTTGATTTTGACAGATTTGAACATTTCAGATGTTCAAAGTAGGGGAAACTGCATGAAGTGTGTATAGGTACTTCCAGTACGATCTTTGCAAACACTATGTTAATCTAAAATTATTCCAAATACAAAGTTTTTCTAGAAAAAATAACTTGTGTAACCAGCACTTAGATAAAAAGCAAACAAACAAATTAAAACAAAACATTACTAGCACCATGAAGAAGCCTTTGTACCTTATTCCAGTCACCATCCTCTGGAGGATAACCACTAACCTAAAATCCCATAGCATAGATTGATTAGCTTTTTTAAAAAAATTTACACTGGTGGAATCAAGTTGTATATACTTCATAGTGTTGGTTTCTTTCACTGCATGTCATGTAAGTTAGACACAACCTTATTATTTCATGTTGTAAAATTTATTCATTCTTTTTACTAGAGTGACTATATTTTTAAGATAGCACAAATGTATTTATTCATTGTATTACTGACAGACATTTAGGGTTGTTTTCACATTGCTGCTTCTAAGAATAGCATATTTTGCATGCTATGACTGTTCTTAGCATATTTTTGTATTTCTATAGTGTATAAATATAGGAGTAAAATTGCTGGTAAATTGCATAATTTACCTATATTTAGCATTAGTAGGGCTCTGCTATTTTGAAAATTCTACATATGAACATGTGGATTTTGAAACTGATACTCTGTGCTTCACGCATTTGTATCTTAACATGAAGATCAGTATATTAGAAAATTGTAGTTAATTTCTCATGTGTCATTAACTTCCACTACATTGAATTTTTAAACTTTAATTAGTTAATTAATTAACTTTAAGACCAGGTCTCACTCTGTCACCCAGGTTGGATTGTAGCGGTGCAAACACGGTTCGCTGCAGCCACAACCTCCTGGGCTCAAGCAATCCTCCTGCCTCAATGTCCCAAGTAACTGAGACTACATGTGGAAGACACCATGCCTGGCTAATTTTTTTAAATCGTTTTGTAGTGATAGGTTCTATGCATGTTGTCAAGGTTTGTTTCAAACTCCTGGGCTCAAGTGATTCTCCCTGTTCAGCCTTCCAAAGTTCTGGGCCTGAATTTCTTATTGAATGAAACTATGCTACTGTATAACCCAAATTTTAGCATCAAATATTATTACATAGTCAATAAACTATAGCTCAATTTGGTAGTTAGGTGGCTATCATTATGCAAAAGTTGACATCTGTATAGTTTTAAGTAGGACAGGTATTTGCTTGAGTGTCATTTTGTGTGGTAACATGCCGTAATTGCGAACTGAACATTATACTGGATTTAAATATATAAGTTCAGAGGAAAAATAGACGTTGCCCTTGGCTGACTTATCCATTCAACATTTGTGTGTGTGTTGTGTGTCTGCTGTATGATGGCAATATGACTCAGATCAGATGATCAGATCACTTGGTATTTTTAAGATCAAGGTAACTTTTGTCATATTAGACACAGATGACTAGTACTTTTCTAACTTTACAATAAAAAGTATCTCTACTACATGTTCTCAATTCTGGCAAAGTACTTATTAGTATTAATATGTCACAGAGTGATATATGTAAAAGATTCTGCCTTAAAAATTATTATTTAGATAATGATTTTATTGAAACAATTACAACTGACAATCAGATGATTATTAAGGAGTTTTGTTCAAAGAAATCCTATCAATAGAAGAGAAAGATAGTAATAGACATAGAACAATAGCAAACGAGGGAGCAATAGTGAAAGGGGAAGAAGGGGAAGTAGGAGAAAGGAGGAATAGGATGAGCAGGAAGAGGAGAGAGAAGGGAATAAAAAGGAGAGAAGTATCTATTCACATAGCTATCCAAATATGCATAGATGTATATATATGTATATGTTATATATAAGTGAGAGTATACATGTGTATATGTGCATGTGTATATGTATATATAAATATACATATATAATGAGGGATACAAGGAATAAGTTGGGTAAAATATTATAGTGTCCATCATTAATCATTCTATACTTTTCAAATAACAATAAACAAGCTTAAAAATCATGTAATTTCATCATTCTTATCTTTTCTGTGAATACTTTCACTCTGAACCCAATTCCTGTATTTCCCTTTATGAGGCTTTATAACTAGCATTGCCAAGTTCCTTATGTCTCATTTTAATAATTTACTAAATATGGCCAAAAACATGAACAGACATTTTTCCAAAGAAGGCATACATCTGACAAAAAATCATATGAAAAAAAAGCTCAATATCATTTATTGTTAGAGAAACGCATATCAAAACCACGATGAGTTATCATCTAAAATCAATCAGAATGGCTATTCAAGTCCAAAAATAGCAGATGCTGGCAAGATTGTGGAAAAAAGCAATGTTTAGCCACTGGTGGTGGGAGCATAAATTAGTTCAACCATTGGAGAAGATGGTGTGGTGATTCCTCAAAGACCTAAAATCAGAAATGTCATTCTACCTATCAAACCCATTACTAGATATACACTCAAAGGAATATATATCATTCTGTTATAAAGACACATGCACACTTACGTTTACTGCAACACTGTTCATAGCAAAGACATGGAATCAACCCAAATGCCCACCTGTAGTAGACTGGGTAAGGAAAATGTGGTACATATACAACATGGAATACTATGCAGCTATAAAAAGAATGAGGTCATGTCTTTTGCAGGAACATGGATGGAGCTGGAGGCCATTATCCTTGGCAAACACACATAGGAACAGAAAACAAAATACTGTATGTTCTCATTTATAATTGGGAGCTAAATAATAAGAACACATAGACATAAGAGGAAAACAACACACTCTGGAGGGTGGAGGAAGGGAGGAGGGAAAGATCAGGGAAAATAACTAATTGGTACTAGGCTTAACACCTGAGTGATGAAATAATCTGTACAACAAATCCCCATGACACAAGTTTACCTATATAACAAACCTGCACATGTAACACTGAACTTAAAAGTTAAAAAACCCAAAGGAACAAATGTGGCCAACAGTTTCAGTTCTTTATTCTCAAAATTCAGCAAAGAAAAAAAAAATGAAAGAAAAACGTTAAAGCTAAATGTTACTTCTTTCAAAGAGCTTGGTCTTTAATCATGTTCCTCAACGAGCTGCACATGCACACACACACACACACACACAGAGCAGATACTCACAGGTGTTTTGCTCACCCCCATTCAACTAGCAAAGCCTCTTACCACTCTCTAGTTACTTGCCTCAGTTCCTTGATATCTGTTCCTTTTTAACAATACTTATTCCATGACAGTGGGGGAACTTTTCTGCCTCATATAAATTAAGAACCATGTGCATTAGCATGGGAACACGCGTGTCATCAAGGAGAGTGTTTGGCATGTGTCCATAGAATGTAGTCTGTAATTGTTGCTTGAGAATTAAATAATATTATTTCAACATCTACCGTGTTGCCCTTTTTTTATTAAAATTGACTCCAATATTCCAGTTACTGTAAAACTTTAGATATTTTAGAAATTTCCTTTTTATGATTTTTTGCTTAATTTATAATTTACATTTTTTTAAATGACATTATAATTATAATGTATAATTTACATCTTTTTAAATGACAATTTATGCAGACGATTTTAATAAAAGTAGTAAGGGTAACAATAATAGTTTTAGTGTTATTAGTAGTACTCCCTTACATAAAGTGAGCTTTCCTGACCTCATCAGTCTGATATTACTATTTGTGCTATCTTATCAACCCGTATCATTATAAAAATAAATGTGAATTAAGCTGTCATCCATGTATGACTTATCAAGGGACAATATTTTATGGAGATTTAGAAAAAGTTTCATTAAAAATTTTAAATGGTCATGAGTATTTATTTATCCAATAACAGTTTAATAATGAGTTCCCCCTGGAATACTTAAGTAGTCTTTACTTTACATGTACTTTCCAAAAATGTAGAATTTATGAGAATGTTGGATCAAACAGATTAAACATATACATATTCCTTGTGCCATAAATTAAATTCAGGGACCAGATCCTTACTCTGCTCAGAAGTAATTCTTAGACTCATAAATTGGGTCATGGAAAACAAATAAGAAATAATTTTGACATGATTTTAAAAGCATAGAATACAGATTCAAACCCAATAATCAAAGCATAATAGTATTTAGAAATCCTGGTTTGTTTTATAAATTCAAACAGGTCATAAAATCAAGCCATAACTTTTGCAAGAAAAAATGTCCTAACCCTCTGCCTGATATAGAAAAAAAATTAAACAACATTTTAAAACATTTTTAATGTAGATATCCTGTTAAAGATATTCAGTAAATGGACCTGCCTAAGAAAATGAACAAAATTATGACATTAAAAATTGTTTGCTACATTAGACATATACTTCTGTAAATTCTTTTGGAGAAAACCAACAGAGAGCAAGCAAGAAAGCAAACAAAAAGTAAGAAAGATCATTTGAGGTCAGGAGTTCGAGACCAGTCTGGCCAACACGGTGAAACCCCGTCTCCACTAAAATATAAAAATTAGCTGGTGGTGGTGGTGCATGCCTGTAATCCCAGCTATTTGGGAGGCTGAGGCGGAGAATCTCTTGAATCCGGGAGGTGGAGGTTGCAGTGAGCCAAGATCACTCTACTGCATTCCACCCTGAGTGACAGAGCAAGATTCCATCTAAAAAATATAAAGGAAAAAGAAAAAGAAAAAGAAAAAAAAGATCATTAACTAGACAGTACTTAATGATTTTTATCATGTTTCTTGAGTTACTGTTATAATTATAACGTTGCACTGTCAAAATGTTTTACAGTTTCATCATTCACAAAATATTCACATTTAGATGTGGAAGACTGTCATATCACTTGGTGCCTCACTTTAAATTACAATTGGCAAATTGATGTGAGAACAAAAAAGACAATGAATATGCAGTTTGTTACTCAAGAACCCCAAGCAATATAAAAATAACAATGTTAAATGCATAGTTTTGTTGTATTTATATCTGTCAGACCTTAATTATACCATACATACTACCTGGCAATTACACTGAATTGATCGATCAATTTTTTAAAAACATTGATATATATAGATAATACTTTGTTCAGATGTGACTAGCTTGCAGAAGAAAAATGCATTATGTTTGAACAGTTTAAAATATATGCATATACACATTAAAAAATGAATGGCAATAATGCATAGTAACATCCAAAATGCAGTATTGAGAACAGAAATGAAAGAGCAAAAGGGCTTCAATTGTATATAATACATTATTATTTTTTTAAAAATATGTTTAAGGGCAATGCAATATTAAGTAATGATCTTATAAATATCATAAAATATTAAGTAATGATCTAAGTGGTCAACATAAAATTCTATTTCATTGTTTTAGATGTTAATCTTAAATTTAATAAAAACAGCAAGTCAAAATATGTTTAAATTAGAAGGAGTAAGGAAAATAAATAAAAGAAAGACAATTTTAAAGTTAATCATCAGAATTCATGTAACAAAATTCTAAATAACTGGTAAAGAAGGCTTATAAATTTTTAAACACTCAAGCTTTCAATTCAGAAATAAGCAAGATTCAGTGATCTGGTAAGTCTTTTTAAGAAACAGATTTTAGGGCCTGGCGCGGTGGCTCAAGCCTGTAATCCCAGCACTTTGGGAGGCCAAGGCGGGTGGATCACGAGGTCAAGAGATCGAGACCGTCCTGGTCAACACAGTGAAACCCCGTCTCTACTAAAAATACAAAAAATTAGCTGGGCATGGTGGCGCGTGCCTGTAATCCCAGCTATTCAGGAGGCTGAGGCAGGAGAATTGCCTGAACCCAAGAGGCGGAGGTTGCCGTGAGCCGAGATTGTGCCATTGCACTCCAGCCTGGGTAACAAGAGTGAAACTCCGTCCCAAAAAAAAAAAAAAAAAACAGATTTTAGAAGTAGCAAAGCAGCACTGGGTCATAAAACCAGATTAGCTTCAATTTTTCAAAATGAAATAATTATTAAAATTTTACTTATCTGATGCGATTGATCATAAGGACACATGCACACGAATGTTCATTGAAGCACTGTTTACAATAGCAAAGATCTGGAACCAACCCAAACGCCCATCGATGATAGACTGGATAGGGAAAATGTGGCATATATACACCATGGAATATTATGCAGCCATCAAAAATGATGAGTTGGGGTCCTTTGTAGGGGCATGGATGAACCTGGAAACCATCATTCTCAGCAAACTGACAGAAGAGCAGAAGATCAAACACCGCATGTTCTCACTCATAGGCGGGTGTCGAACAATGAGAACACATGGACACAGGGAGGGGAGCACTACACACTGGGGTCTATTGGGGGGAAATAGGGGAGGGACGGTGGGGGGTGGGGAGTTGGGGAGAGATAGCAAGGGGAGAGATGCCAGATGTAGGTGATGGGGAGGAAGGCAGCAAATCAGACGGCCACATGTGTACCTATGCAACAATCTTGCATGTTCTTCACATGTACCCCAAAAGGTAAAATGCAATAAAATAAATAAATGGAAAAAAAAAAAAGAAAAGCAAGGCAGTTATTACCGTAACAATCAGGATAGTGCTTAACTGTAGGCAAGAAGGAAATATTGAAATAAAAAGCACCAAAAAGAAAAAAAAAATTGAAAAAATATTTTGACATTTCTCACATAATGTTAATTATATCTATTATTTCCTTACTCATTTTTATGTTATATAGAATTTCAAACCTAAAGAAGCATGGTCCTAAATTTTCTAGAAAAGTCCAATTTAAGCTTCTTATTTACGTATTTATTAGGCCAACTCAATGGAGCATAGTATTTGAAGAAGCAACAGAAGATAGAATTTGGGCAAAAGGAAAGAAAAAAACTTCCAAGCAAATTTATATCTGAAACCTTTGTTAACTTTTGTAACCATATTTTTCCCATGGGGTATGTTATGAAATGTTTCCTATTACAAATACATTTCCAGATATAATACATATAACCATCCCAATGCCAGCTTTTTATAATATATAAGAAATGTTTTTGAAATGTAAATATTTGTATGTATTCATTGTTTTAAATTTTAAAACATATAGCACGCCATTGTTATTTAATCCTCTTTGTATTGCATATTTGTTTCTGCAACTTTTTACTATTTTAAATAATATTCTATCATTCAGATAAAAATGAAAACTAATCATATTCTTATATTAAACTCTAGAGTAATGATTGTATCATAGCATATGCATACTTTAAATAACTTGACATATTTGGACAATTGTTCTTTAGAAAATTGTAGTAATCACATTTTTTGCATATTATAATTTACTGTCTCTTTAAAATGGAATTTCTCGTTTTACACAATTCTTACTCTATGTTGTTAGAAGTCTTTCTTTATATACCCACCATATTTAAAGCCTTGGCTTCCCGAGATCAACATTAAATTTTTTTCTATACTTCCAAAATGTCTCCAGCCTGACATAGTAATTATTAAAAATCAACAAAAAGGTACTAAATCACTTTCTGAGACTCAAATATATTATCAATTCCGTCAGAAAAAAAAATCCTATTTATATATCTTTTAGTTTGCATTAAATGTAAAGATCAATTTGGAGAGAATTGGCAGCTTCAAAATCTATCCAAGAACCTAGTACATCTATCCATTCATTTAGATCTTTATTTTCAGTAATGTTTTGCAGCTTTAAGTACACAAAACTCACAAATATTTGAATAAAATGATGCCCATTTTATTTTATGATGATAATGATGAGTATTTTCTGATTTCAATTTCCAGTTGTCACTTTATTATTTATAAATATAATTTCTTATTCATTAATTACATTGGTCTTATCTTCAGTAGCCTTGCTTAACTGCTCTCAAGCTTGTAAAGCGTTTCTTTTTGGTTTCATTAAACATTTTAGTGATTTTTTTTTTAAAACATAAACAAGTCATCAAAAAATGAGAAAATTTTATCCTACCCATTCATTATTGTTATTATTATTTATTTTTATTGCCTATTGCACTATTAGAACATCGTACTGTGAGTACAATTTTAACCAAAAATGATGAGAACAGATAGATATCTTTTTCGTTTCTCTTCTAAGGGGAAAACATTTAGTCTACAACTATTATGTATAATGTTAGCTATTTATTTTTAATATAGAACAATATTGAGAAAATTTTATTCCTGGCTTTCTGAGAGTTTAAATTATAAATGGCACTGAATGTTGGTAAACGTATCTTTTCCCCTGCATGGATTGAGAGGATAATTATAATTATATATTTTACTTTCATTTCAAATTGCAGTAATATTCAAAATTATATCAATTGATGTTAAATGTTAACAAGTAGACTTTATTAGAACAATATTTGATCATATATTTCTTCTTACTTTATTGCTAATGTTTTGTTCAGTATTTTTTAGTCCATAGTCCCAAAGCATTATATCTCATATCCCAAAGCTATGACTTGTAGATTTCTTTCCTCTTACTTTTTCAGTATTGCTATCAGAGTAATTTTAGCATCCTCATATGATGAAGAAAGTACTCTCTGATTCTTTATATACTAAAGAAGTTTGAAAAGGAGTAAAAGTAATTTCTTTTCAAGGCTTCATATTTAGCTGTTCTTGAGTATCTCGTCTGGTTTCGGGGGACTTGGCTATGGTTCTCCGTACAAAGTTATTTCTAGTTAACAAATTATGCAGAAGGTATAATGGTTTGTCTTTTCGTTTTGATGCTTGATTCAGTTCTTTCATCTTTCCCTTATGGTACTATGTCTATTGTGCGCGTGAAAATTTCTATCGCCTATACTTTTTTCTAACGTAAATGGTTTGATTAAGATGTTTTAATAATAATTTTAGTGGGGTTTGGGGCTAGAGTTGGCTCAAAGTGATCAGGTCGTGAAGAAATCTTCCAGTGTAAGCCGGATGCTTTGGCTTAAGCTACACTTTGGTTTGTCCAAGAGCACTTTCCAGTACGCTTATGTTACGACTTATCTCCTCTATATGTGCGTAGGGAGTTTTTAGTACTAATAATTTCTAGAACAATATTCGAGGAGAGTGACGGGCGGTGTGTGCGTACGTCATGGCCTTATTCAACCAAGCATTCTGCTCTTGGTTTACTGCTAAATCTTCCTTGAGCCTTTAAATTTCATTGAAGGTTGTCCTGAGATTTTCTGGGTAAAGAAATGTAGCCCATTTCTTGCCACCTCATAAGCTACACCTTAACCTAATGTTTTTATGTATATACTTGTGCTTACTCTATAGCCTTAAAAGGATTTAATGAAGCTTGTGCTATATAGGCTGGGGGCAAGAAGTGGTGAGGTATATTGGGGTTTATCGATCATAGAACAGGTTCCTCTAGGGGGATATAAAGCACTGCCAAGTCCTTTGAGTTTTAAGCTGTTGCTTGCAGTATTCTGGCGAATGGTTTTGTTAACTATTAGAGTTTAGGGCTAAGCATAGCGGGGTATCTAATCCCAGTTTGGGTCTTAGCTATTGTGTCTTCAGGATGTTAAAGCACTTCCTAATATATTTTATTTCAGCTGGAGATTCTTACAACTTACATGGAACTTAGCTTTATTGAGGGTAGACCTTAAACACAATTTATGCCGAGTTCTATTAGCTTGGGTTAATCCTATGGCCACGGTGACTGGCACGAAATTGACCAATCCTAGATACCAGTATAGCTTAGTAAAACTTAGGTTTATTATTAAAGATTGATCACTGCTATTTCCTGAGGGGGTGTGCCTAAGTGTTTTCAGCTGCATTTGTGCGTCCTTGATAACTACTCCTTTTGATTCGGATGATCTAGAGGGCATTTTCCCTGGGGCAGGGATGCTTGCATGTGTAATCATACCAATAGTTAATAGAAAGGCCAGGTCCAAACCTATTTGTTTATGGGGTTGTGTAGACCCATCTAGACATTTTCAGTGTCTTGCTTTGAATAATTAAGCTACATTAACTGCACAGGTACTTAAGCGTAAAATTAAAATATAAGGAGGAAACAAGTAAAATATAATCGTTCGCAGTTCTGGGAATTCAGGGTCTTTAAAGTTGAATTGGCAGAGATTTGGCTGTCGATTTACAATATAATATATGTATATCTAGGGTAGTGCTCTCAGAGGGATATCAAGGCATTATGTTAGTTTTGGATGGAAATTTAGTTATTATATTTATTATATAACTGAAGGCTTAATTTAGTAGGAGGCTCTTAAGTTTCTTAGGAGAAATTCCAATAATCGAATGGTAGCAGTTGGGCTGTTTATGGTTAAAATACGATTTTTGGGCTCAGACTGGGTTGCCTTTTAGTCTCCTGTTTTTAGGATTTGGCAAGGGTAGGTTTACCTCCGTTGATGGCAAAGTCAGAGATGGGGGAGGGGCGGTTGCAGATTTAACCTGAAATAGTTCTTGAAAGTGAGCGTGCGTGCGTGGGGGTACGTGCGTGCGTGGGGGTACGTGCGTGCGTCGGGGTACGTGCGTGCGTGGGGG